ATGACATTCCAGAAGGCGTTTTGTCTGAAGTAATGGTGTGAAAGTAGAATTTATCAAACCAAACCGTCCTCTGCATTAGTTACCATTATGGCTTTGTGTGTGGACCATTTTATAGTGCAAAAAATAATAAACTATTGATTTAGCAAAATAAACGTTGGGTGTCTCATCTGGAAGTTTCAGCACAACAGACCTTTGATTCCATACATATAAACACTTGGTTGGTCTGTATAGCCGTAATATTTTGAAATATTGGTGGTGTAGGGAATTAGTTGGCCGTCAAAGCAGAGAGGAGCATTGATGAAAGTGGCCATGACCAAATTCATGTGAAAAGCCAGAACCACCCTAACTTGCTATACTCCAATCCCCTCCTCTTTCCAACTGCACAACACATGTCTCGAGTTATGCAAGTTCTTTGCGTTTAAAATTACCGGAACTAACCTCATGCCCGCATGGGGCGGACCAGATTGATGTCTAAATCGTACACCAGACAGGCAAGAATCAGGGATGATGTGATTACAAGAATGCCTCTCACGATTTACTCAAAAAAGCATCGCGACAAGCCTGCAACGGCGGGCAACATCTGATGGGAATGTAAAGGAAGACGCAAGTGCCATCGAGTCATGGCAACATTATCATTTTGGATTAAGGCCGAATCATATTAAATTTAACCAAAGCTGCAAAAATCCCTTTGCTTTCTTGTTGCCTGTAATCGTGCTACCTAGTTCCCTAGTACTCCCTACAACATACCAGTCAAGACAATTAAAGTTACCAGTACAGCTCCAATCCACAAATCCATCTCAAAACAACTTGGTCAAATCTTAAGGCATCTCAGCAGGGCATCACGTTGTGCCACGCCTTCACCAAAAATACAAAAAGGGCCGTCCTGCCTGTATCTAAAACTGACCATTAGGTCATTTTAAATTTGATTGGAGGAAAATTTGTCCCAGTAACAAGAATGCTACAGAGTTTTCTCCAGTACAACATGTACATCAAGTTCTCTTCAGAAAGCCACTATACAGCTCATATCACCAATTGAACAAGAATGCACATGCAACATGGCTCATGTTTAGTCATGTGGAAGTGGAACCCAACCTGTATTTCTAACTTGCCGAAATAATAAGGTTTGAACAGGCTATGAGCTCAAACTTAGACTTCTAAATGGTGGAGAGCATAAGAAATCTTCTATGCAAATATAGGCTAGCAATGCACGCATACAAACTAGACATCAAAATTAGAAATATCAGACAGGTGCTCGAAGGCAAAGTAGCCAAAAACAAAGAAATTAAATACACAAACAAAAAACCATTGATTTATTTGGTCACCAATTCAAACAATTATAAATATTAAATCATGCTCACAATATAAAACAAAACTTAATAATAAAAAATAAAAACTCTAATAACATGGGCAACTCTGAAGCAACGCTCCTACAAACAAGACATGTTGACCAAGCCAATGAAACTAAAATCAAGGCCTACCAAAATTGTTTAAATACTGCATTCGACAGTAATAACAGTCACAACAAAAGACAAACAAGTCTCATCAACTCAACATATTAGACTTCCAAAACGTTCAAAAGAAGTTTTTTCTTCTTCCTCTCTGTGGACCTAAGCTTTGCATTTGTCAGTCGCTATCTTCAATTCTCTTCAACATGGCCATTCTCAGCGCTGGAACCCAGGAGAAAAAACAGACCAGAGTTAGCATGTCATGTTGCAACACACAATGAGCAGACAGCTTTCCATAAAACCCAACTCAAATTGGTCCACATTTTAAAAGGGGAATTAATAGACAGGGGATTTAGCATTTTTTTTAGACAGGAAGGGGAGGTGTTTGAAAACAACCATCAATTTTGTAATTACCACAATTTATGATCATAGAGAAGTATAACAACTAACAAAGAAGTCTCCAACTCGTTCTTATACAAAGGATTTCGTGTGAAAGGAAATGCTTCAGATTCATCTATATGTCAATACACGTAAAAAAAAAATGAATAGGAGAGATGAAAAAGATGAATGGTTATCTATCCATTTAGCTGGTTAAAATCAACTTGCTTTCCCAGAATCCCTAGCCTAGAAGAAATACTGTCCAAGTATTGCTACATGCATAGGAGAACTCTATTCTAAAGCAATAGTGGAAGGCAAAAAGTGGCAGGGGAAATACAATTATGCTACTTTTATTATGTGTCTTAGGTTCACAATGAGTTTGAAATAATAATATAGAACACCATGAAAGAACCCAACATTGCTAGTAAAACGCATTAAGGTTTACGAGAGAAGAAAATGTCCTAGAAATATATAAACCGTTAATATATGAAACCAACAAGCTTCATAGCGAAGAAAACATGCTCCTAGATAATCTATCAATATCTTACACAAAAAATAAATACAGCTTTATTCTCAAATTAACCGAGCAATTAAATTTCAGACCTTTCGGATTGATCAGCATCAGAAGCAACAGCCTCAACAGAATCACTCTTCCTCCAGCTCCTTTCCACCGGGGCACGCCCATTCCCGAAACTGACCTTTCCTCCTCTCTCTCCTCTCTCTGCAACCGCAACTGTCTCTTTAATCTTCGCAGCTTCCAGCTTCTCATCAATCTCCTTCCAATCTTTCCCCTTTTCCTTCAACACCTCTTCTCTTGGCCTTGCCTCGCCAAAAGGATTTGCCCCTCGGGGCTTTGCCAAAGTCGCCTCCTTCTTACCCTCCTCGGTCACCGTACGTGGCTGAAGCACAAGCCTTGGCCTCACCCCACCACTACCAGCACTGCCACTCTCCTCCTTTTTCTTTCCCCAATTATCCAAATCCCTCGGTGAATCCCTCGATTGAAGCGAATCAAAACTGCTTCTCCTCTCAAAACCGCCACCAAATCTCCGTGGCGGTGCCTCATTGGCGCTTTTATAACTCTTATTAGCTGCCCAGTTATCCACTTCATCGGCTTTCGATTGCGAATCAAAAAATCCTCCTCCTCCTCCTCCTCCTCTCTCTCTCCTTTCAAATCCACCACCAAATCCGTTTCCAGTGGCAGTCGATTTCTTAGCCGATGCCCAATTATCGATCTCATCAGCGCGTGAGGGAGCAATTTCTCTACTGGAATCTCTATTCGAAACCCTAGAAGATCCCCATCTACCATTACTCGACGAATCGTCGCCGTTGGAATTGTATCTGTTCGAACCGTAGGACTTAAAACCACCGCCGAGCCGATTACGATCGAGTTCCTCCGGGGAACGTTGGCGAGGGCCGGTGGGGAGTACGAGGAGGTCCTCGTGAGTGAGGCGGGTTGGCTCACTAGGCTTAGCAGCGCCGTAGGCACTGAATTCGGCGAGAGATAGGGTTTGGCCCTTCTTTTTCTTGGTCTTGGCGGCGGCAGCGGTGGCTAAAGAAGGGAAATCCGCGTGCTTTTCTGAGGAAGAATCGACGTGGTTTTGATCTTGTTGTTGTAGTTCAGCTTCGTGTTCTTCGGCGTCGAGAGCCCACGCGCCGGGTTTGCCCCAAGGAGACGAGACAGTTGCCGCCATGATTTTGTGCGTTGGCGCTGTTCCAAAGCTTGCGTATTTGGTTTTGGTTGCGAGAGTATGCGTTAGATGGCAGCGAAAGGGAGAGGCAAAGGGTTTTTATACGGGGAGATGATGGGATCAGATCCGACGGTGGAGGAAATTCGTAAGAAGAAGATGGAATGTTGGGACTTCGCTTTTCTTGTGAACCTGCCGTGGATCTGTTGTATTTTTATGTGAAACCGTACACCACTGGGATCCAACCATCTCAATATGTTCTCTTTTATTGGTAGAAAATATTTTCTTGTATTTGTCTGTGGCCGGAAATTGTTTATGGACTTATTTTCCGTTACCCAATAAAGTTTCATTTTGCATGAATTAATCTAAATATATAATTAGTTAATAATAATTGTATGGTGCTTTTCAAAATAATAATAATAATAATAATAATTACATAGTTCATGCATCTTTTGTATCAAAAACGGGTAATTTAATTAACTCAAATAGATACATTCAATTCCCTTCCTCACAAAAAATAAATCTCTTAAATCTTTTTTTGTAATTATTTAGAAGGCTGTTAAATAATAGTCCAAATAGTACATTTTCCTTGCTAAATATTTTTGGAGACCTTCCATATGCCATGCCACCATAGCAGGAAAATTTATATTTAGTTGGGCCAATTAATATATATAACATTAAATATACAAAAAAGTCTAAATAAAAATTAATTCAAGTGTTAAAAAAATTATTTTATTTATATGCAAATATAATATATTACAAATTTTTTTAAAGGTTTTTATAGTTTGAAACCATTGTAAAATTTTTAATTATCAATACTACAAAATATTGTTTTAATATATGGAACTAAACAATCATCGGTTCCAAAATTTCTTTTCAAAATTGATAATATAATTTTGTTTTGAAAATATTCTTTGATTATTTTTTATATGCACCAAATTATTCTATTAATATAAAAATTTTAAATAATAAATAATACTTTATCAAAATCACATTCTTTAAAATGACCAAAAAAAATAATTATTCATGATTTGAATATCTTCAAAGTTTAAAAGAATAAAGTGCAGTGATCTCACCCCTTTATTTCTTTAACGTTTCTTTCGTAAAGCTATTTATCTTTATTCTTCTCTTTCTATTGGTTTTTCCTTTGCTATTGTTATGTTTTATAATTTTTTTTTACGCGAAAAGCAACTGGTTAAATAAAAGGCATCACTTATAATCTGAATTTTGGTGAGTCCCGTATCAATAAATAAATTAATTATAAAACCTCATTTCATTTAACTCTACATATATGACCTTATTATTAGAAAAGAAAATAACTTTTTATTATCGCTAAAACTTTATTCTTTTCAATATTTATAATAATAATAATGTGATATATATTTTATTTTTATAGGGGAACTTGGCACCCCACCCTGAATCCGTCCCTGGCAGGAAAAGAAAAACGTTAAAATTAAGTATAAAAAAAAAAAAATCTAAAAGTTACCATGGCTTACACGTTAAAACTCATTAAATTAAAAACAGAATTTGATTCCTAATGGTAGCCTATTGGATTACGCAGTCAACGATCCCCAATGGGCAAATGGGCTGGAATGAGACATTTACCTTTGTTGTGTTCGTAGAACGACACACATCTCCTCCTCAGCCTCTCTTTTTAAAAGGAGCTGCAGCTGCTTACTTCTAAAGCTGACTGATTCCTCCAATTCCAAAGTTTTGAACGTCATGGGACACGGAACCAAACAAAAAGCTTCATAAGAATCAAACACCCGCAAAGATTTTTCGTATGCTTTATTAGAAGACAAAAGAATTGACACATACTTGACAGAAATAATGAAAAAGAAATCATCTCAGCCCCTACACAAGGAAACAACTGAAGAAGAACATAGCTTTGTTATGTACAACTCAGATGGGAATGAGATCACCACTGTCAAAAGGGGGGATAGATACCGCACTCAACTCCTCATTCCAAGTTGACAATGATGCAAGAATCCAGGGCGCATTAACTGATTTCAATTGGGGTCCTGTTTGCTGGTTGTCAAGGAAAGGTATCGCTAAAACTACCTTTCTGGCTATTGTTGACACCTGCAAATTTCATCTGGAGAACAGAGGGACTGACTCTCTTGCATTTCACGTATTCTACCCGGTTCAATGGAGGGAGATCAAGACACTCATCTTTGATGGAGAAAATCATGGCTCATAATACTCCAAACTTCGCAGAGTGATTAGATGTTCATCCTCAGGACTCTTTACGGAATCGCCACTAACATACCATGTTACAGTTCCTGAAATGCAGAGGCTCTGTCAAAAAATAAGCTCAAGTCAAAAGGCAACATGCCAATAATGCAAGACTATTTGGTTGAATTATCCAAGAAGCATTTTCAAACAAGTTGGAATGGAAAGTTGAAGCAGCTCCACGTTTCCAGTCTCACTTACACTTGCATAATTCAATAAAGACTAATTGGGTAGTTTAAATATCAGATATTGACATGTATGGTTATCTGCATATCCAAAGGTGTGAAAATCAATTTTGCTCATCCCAGGCAACAATACATAGGTGAAATGATAGGGTAAGCATGGCACATCCTATCTGGGACATCAGTGTCATCAATAAAGTACCAAAACAGGATAGGATGTTCCACAGAATCTTTAATTCTTTATAGACAGCACCACACCACACCAGAGCTTCAGAAATGGACCTCTTATTTCAGAGGCATCAAAAAGTATATTACATCAGCTGGTGTATATGATGATCAAAGCCAGCAATTAACAAGAAGCTGATCCAAGCAACCCCCCCATCTCTAATCTTTTTTCTTCGTTTCAATGGAACTAGTCCCAGTTATTGCCTCCATGGCAAAAGCCCACTAATTATCCAAAAGGCACATATTTTAAACAGACTGTCCAATGTGATGCTAAGAGAGAGATGGTTTTCCTGTATATTTTCTTGCATGGCCCTAGAAATCATCTACCATAAAGATCAATAGATCAGTCTCTTTTTCCATTTTAAGGCAAGCTGTGAACACATTTAGAATAAAATCAAATTACCAATGGTGACAATATTAAAGCAAAATTACTAATAGCAAAATGATTGTTTGCCAGGATATCATTTTTTTTTCCTTGGTCTGACTTTAATCAAGAAAAAGGAGCAGAATGAGGGCAACATGAAATTTTTAATTTTGACATCTCCCACTTGTATTTCACTGCCCAAAAAGGAGGGAACCAAAAAGAGTGGGGATAAAGGACAAGATCCATACATACCTACTGGAGGACGTGGTTCCTGTTCTCTTGTAGCATGAAGTATGATTGTTCCAGAAAGCACAGTGATGAATCCACATATCTCAGAAGCAATACTGCTCACGTTTTGGCCTGACCAGTCCTGTAAGAAGAACAAGACAACAACACTCAATTTGTGCTCATCAGTTCCTGTAGTTGCAGATAATTACAAAACAATTAGGCATTCAGAACCAAATTGAAGAGGGATGACTTAAATAATTTACCTTAAACATTATTACACTAGCAATAATGGTCAAAGTTGTAAACATCACATAATATACAGGAGAAACAATTGCAGCATTGAATGTATCCAAGGCCTACAATGAAGACACATACACGTCAGTGAAGCACAAAAGTCGACCAACCATTCAAAAACATTGTGCAATACATGAGAAAGAAAAAGGCTCATATACTCAGGACAGATTGCATACAAGAAGGCAAATTTCCATGTCCAAAATATTAATTGATCCTAGATTTTGCTGGGTATCATGACATGATTAAATGTAGAATTTGATCAACAGAGGATACTTTTGAAGAAGCTACAATTTGTATGTATATTTCTTAGCAACAATATTTGAAAAAGTGTAAGTAGTTGCGGAATCTAGAATTCAAAATGTTCAACTATATGTTGAATTATGAATTTGATTGGCTAAGTTGCAATACTCTGATCCGCAATAATTAAGGTTTCATATAACAAAGTATGCTAGCTAGCTAGGTAGAGGATATGTTTTACAGTACATCATGGTCATTGGTCAATCACTGAAACCATGTTAAAATAAAGTTAATAGGAATGGACAACCACCAAGAGACAGAACCTAACCTTATTGAGGTAATTTAATTGTGTAATGACACAAATTGCAGCAACTGTAATAAAAAACCAAGTTTGAGGATAAGCTAATTGACTTATCCCATCCAATGTAAGCTTTATAGCAATCCCGATAGCTTTGATGCTTACAACCTGCGACAGCACCCAACAAATGAATTTACAAAAGCGTCAACAGCATACTAACTACCATGGTGCCATTCAGAAATTGTCAATAAAAGTTCATAAGGAGATCTACGTACCGTAAGAGAACCCATTAAGGAACATATTCCCAAATACACAAGTAAATTTGTCTGCCCATAACGAGGTTCAAAGTGCAAAACCAAAGCTAAAACTGTTGAAAGTGTAGCCGCTACATAAATAAGAAAAGCTGCCAGCAAAAACACATGAAAAGGAACTAGAAGATTACTCACAATGAATGTTGAACAACAAAGAATAACAAACATCAAGAGAAGGACTAAACCTGGTTGTGTTGCTAGAGTCCAAATTTCTTGCACAGAACTTGGAGTATGCTCTTGTGGTGCATGGATTACAATCACCACTGAACCTACAATGCAGGAGACACATCCTACAATCCCCATTTTCTGAACTCGTTCCTTCAACATAAAATGTGCCAGAAAAGCACTGTTCAAATTTATCAAGCATGTCAGTCATTAAAAATAGATAGATAAATAAATTCAATCATATCTAAAGAAGCTATCACAAACAGAAGAAGCTTACCTCACAATTATACTTAGTGCACCAAGTGGGGTAACTAGAACAGCAGGAGCATATACATAAGCCACAAAATTTGCAACCTCTCCAATAATCACTATTTGCACAAAAATTCATCAAAGGTAAAACGAAACTCAATAATAAAGTTAAGAAGGAACACAGTTTCATGCTTACATATTTGGAGGAAAAAAAAGAAAGATTCCGTGTTGTCAACATACTTACTTGTTATCATGCCCGCCCACCAAAGTGGCTCTAATAAGTAGGTATAACCTCCAACTCCTACATTATTCCAGATGAAATAAAAAGAAAGTCAATCACATTGACAATGCTAAGCTTGCCTTACCTCCATTTCCACATTGCACAATCTCAATAGCTATTCATTGATGCACACAATGCAGTTCTTAAGAATCGAAAACAGATGAAATCTTGATACCTGAAAATTTTACAGCATCACATAATAATCATACTTGTGTTGTTAATCGCCTTACTAATTAATGATCCAATGCAAAAGTAAAAGAAAGCAGATGGTACTAAACTACTAATTGATTCAAAATATACAGATTTAAATAAGAAATGAATGTCATAATTAAACACATTTAAGATTCACATCCATTGATTTAATTCAATTAACAAAATCGTATCACTCCACTGAAATAACAACGGATCAAACTAGCAGAAAATTTTTAAAATTTTTAAAAAAAAAAGGGGGATGAGTCAAATCAAAACTAAGCAAAGAAAAGAAGCTCAATAGTGAGTCAAAATTGACAGCGAGAGTTACTTGCAAAATCGTGGATTAAAAATTAGAACAGACCTGCGCGAGTACCCGCAGCACCAGCACGCTTGAGTCCTTTCTTCTTCAGAATAAAACTTGACCCGATAAACGCGCTTGACGCCACTGCTAATATCACTCCCTTCGAATTGTCCGACAATCCCATCTCTCTCTCTCTCTCTGTGATCACATCAATCAACGCTCCAAATCTTTTTGTTTTGACGATAAAAAATGGAAAGATTGAGAATTCGAATTCCGGCCAAAAAGAAGAGCAAGAATCCGTCTTCGAGAAAATAATTTTTTAAAAAAATAAAAAAAACGAACAGCTTTTGACTCTTCAACGCTACGTTTTATTCGATTCTTTTGCTGTGATTTTTTCAGATGGAAAGTGATAATGAAAGAAAGAAAGAGAAAGATCTAAAACCCTCTTTCTCTCTATCAGGAAGCCCTCGGCTCATTTCTTTCGAGGTCCGTCGTGTTGTCGGAAACTTCCCATCTTTCTGTTCGGACCCCATAAAATAGCTCAATGATCCCCTACTTCGCAAGTCTTTTTGCTAACTTACGCTCGTCCCCCTCTTTTTCGTCGATCGATACTACTATGCTGAAAGAACAAAAAGATCTTCCCATCTTAATTATGTCCTTTGTTTTATGGTGAGTCAAAGGCGGTCATGGGTCAGTAATTGATTTGGGTGGGGACTGTTTGAATAAATGAAGTGACGATTTTGCCCTTACCAGGAGCTTGCCGGCTTGAGAAAGGCTACCAATCTGATGAATTGAAATGTAATTTCGCAAAGCAGATTTGCAGGGGTGATTGGGCTGTTGGCGAGCTGGATGACAACAGAGGCACTGGCTGACCCTCCGTGCTGCCTGTTAATGTTATTTAACCGTTTGGTTTTAACTTTAAAGGGCGGAAAAGAATAATTAAAATGCCAGCAATTACTACCCACAAAAAAGATTCTTTCACATTACATGGTATCATGGAATATTTGTTTTGGCAGGTGTTAGATAATAATTATATTATCACTTAATTATAATACATTTAATAATCTTATTAAAAGAATATTTTTAAAATTATAGGTATTATATAATAATATTGTATTAAATATTGTGTGGGAGATATTTCACATGTATGTTATGTAAAAGCTAAAGTTTGTTTGTTTGGAAAATGCAATAAATGTATTGTTAAAAATTGATTAAAATGGAATAGAGAAGGAGTGTGACATAAAATGAAAATTGGATGTTTTAATCCAAGATTGGAGATTTCAATTAAATCCCAAAGGGGAAAAGAAAGAGGAAACAAAATGGTAGTGGTTTTTAATAGGATTTGTTATCACAGCACAAGTCGAATAATTTTGGAGTCATAGTTATGAGCGAATAAAGATATTTTTTAGACTTTAGCCCACAAAGCATAAAGGATAATGAAGATGATAATTATGGGGTGGCCGCACTTGCTTCTGGAAAAACAACGTAAGAATAAAATTTTCTTGTGGACAGAACATTCAAGACAATATAATCAATTTGGCTTGGTTTTGTATTCTCTTGGAATTGTTGTTTTCTCTTCAAAAGATTGAATTGATAAATTTATGTCTATAAATTTTATATTGTTTTTCATAGTTTTCAATGTGAAAGTGAAACGTTTAATTATTTTTTTTTTTGAAACATTTGATATAACATTTTCTCTCTCGTTCAATTCAACGGTATTTTTGTAATCATCGACTATCTTATTTGTTCTGGCATCACTTGATCACAAAATTATCATCCTTTTTGACTTGAATAAATGAAATGGTGAGGAAGTTTACCTAAACAAAGAAGGGAAGGCATCAACGGAATCTAGGGAAGCTTCCCTGAAACTTGTATTAATGAAGGAAGCTTCCCTATTGTGCATTGTCAAAGTCACTTTACCATTTACAGTATATAAAAAAAGGGTTTTTCCCACAAGCTTTTGATGGATTTTATGGCTCGTTTTGTTTTTCTGTAAGTGGAAACCAGAAACGTTTTAAACTTGTTATTGTTGGAAAATTGGAATGAAGATTTGAGCACCTCTCTTATGAAGATGTTTGTTCTTCACTTTCATGTTGAAAGACGAATGAACACTCTCGTCCATGTGAATGAAGAAAACTCGTTTTGTTAATTTTGCCAGTGCAATGAACAAAGTAATTGGGCTATGGAAATCAAAAACAGGCTTCAACATCAAGCAAAGCCCATCCCCATCTAAGCCCAAAAGACAAAGAACCTCATTTGGTAAGTATATGGATCACGAATGGGCTCAGAGTTCACTCACAGAATGTAATGGAAACTCAACATCAGTACATGAAATATCTTATGCCTTAGCTAAACTAAAAAGGAATTAAGCTTTAAAGAGGGACTGAATCTGGTTCTGGTTGATTCATGGAAGCTGGCTTGAAAATTTCACTTCACCGTAAGCATTAAGCAGAAAAGGTGCCCTATTTGTTAAGTAAGCATTGTCATTCTTGGTAGAGCTTTTCCATTACCATATTTAAAGTCAAAAATTGAGTTAACAACAAGTTCATGCATTTAAAGCTTTGTGGAAAAAGAGAAACCAGACAATTTTTTGCAGAAACAACTACAATTCGAAACCATTATTACGCATGCTTCGTTGTTGAGTTGTACATCACACAAAGGCAAAATGTAGAACAAGAGTGAGCGAGCCACCAACGAAGGCATGAAAAAGGTTTAACATTACATCATCACAAAGCGATGGTGGGACGCCACATATGAAAACGGGCTCCTTTTCCTTTCTATCAAAGAGAGATATTCCCTCTCACTCTCTCACTCTCCTTCTTCCCTGGCAACTTCAGCTGTGGATCAGACCTCCCAGGACCTACCCCTCCCCCACTGGACCACATCTCTTAAAGATAATTATCAAATGCTTTTAGGCGTGGGGTTGGTTTCTCATTTATGGGTTGAACAAGAAACCCCATGGGATATTTTTATCGTTACTTTTGTCTTTTCCTCTTGTCCACATCCTTCCTTTACAGTCTACCTGATTTATCCTAAAAACCAATTTTTCCACGATGATCATTGACTAGTACGAATATAGCTTTGCTCACGGTCGGTGAGCGTCATCACAGAGGCCAGGCCACCGGATGACAAAGCCCAATTTCATCTTTACCAGTAAAGAGATAATATTGCAGAAAAAGGTAATATGATGATAAAAAAGCCTATCTTATTTATGGTAGTTCATAGAAACTACATAAAGCAAGTTCTTGAAAACCACCAAAACCCAGACCCAGTGACCATAAAAAGAAGCTAAAGGACAGAAATTAAAAGATTTAGACATGAAACACCACCCAAAGTCAACATAATCAACCCAAGTTTGTGTTTTTCTTTAAGAAAGCTGTCCACAGTCAGCAACAACAACAGGCTTGGAAGTCCTGCCACCGCTAGACCCAACCTTCTCAATGGCTTTAACCACATCCAGGCCTTCAACAACTTGCCCAAACACGACGTGCTTTCCATCGAGCCACTCGGTCTTGGTTGTGCAAACGAAGAACTGGGATCCGTTAGTTCCAGGTCCAGCATTTGCCATGGAGAGAACGCCGGGTCCCGTGTGCTTCTTGATGAAGTTCTCGTCGGCGAACTTGGCTCCGTAGATGGATTCACCTCCGGTGCCGTTTCCGGCCGTGAAATCACCTCCTTGGCACATAAAATTAGGGATCACACGGTGGAAGCTTGACCCTTTGTAGTGGAGAGGTTTGCCAGAACGACCAAGACCTTTCTCGCCGGTGCAGAGGGCACGGAAGTTCTCGGCGGTGCGGGGAGTGCAATCAGCGAAAAGCTCCATCACGATCCGACCAGCCGGTTGGCCACCGATCGTCATGTCGAAGAAGACCTTGGGGTTCGAAGCCATAGCTGGAGAGAGAATTTTTTGAGTAAAAAACAGAGAAATGGATTAAC